TTATTTATGTATGTAGATTTGGCGTATCTTTTGTTTCGATCGTTTTCTTTCCGTACATTCTCACAAAATTAATTAGAAGTATCAATATTTGAATAATAAATTCGCTTCTGAAGAGAGTGGGCAAAGCATTTCAGTTAAAATATGTAACTCTTTCCTAATATTCGATTTGTACGAGAAACAAATCAGGAGTGGGTCAAAAAATTGATTGGAGACTAATAAAAACCTGATTTTCAGAGGAATCTTATCTGTTAATTCGCAGGGATGGGACGAAATATCGCCTAGTCCCTGCAATCGTAACTGTAAGAACTTCTGTAGCAGGGGCAGTTTTTTTACTCTCTTCAATGCATACGTCAAATCTCGGCTGGAATATGCATCCCTTATATGGTTACCCATATACAATGTCCACATAAACAAAATCGAGTCAATACAAAGAGGCTCATGAAATATATTACTTACATGCTAGAAGGAGTTTACCCTGAACAAGGCATCGACAACAGAATACTACTGAATAAATTCAATCTATTATCCCTTCAAAACCGAAGAACCTACTACTCTATAATCTTCATTTATAAACTAGTGAATAATCTGATTGACTGTCCCACTTCAACTTTCATGTTCCACGAATCAATTCTAGAAATGAACTGACTTTTTATCTACCAAATTCTAGAACAAACATATTACTCAAGTCACCAGTTGTTGCAGTGAGCAAACTTTACAATCAACTCTGTGAAAATCTCGACATTTATTATGAACCTATTGGTCAAGTTAAGAACCACGTTAAGAAACTTTTACACTCTAGTCAAAATACATGAGCCCAAATTGAAAGTTATTCTACCATGTGAGCTTATTACTACTACTGTATTACTGCTGAATTATGTTTTTTTTTTGTAATACACCTAAACTATGTTTTTACTTGTTAGCTCTATATCTGACTTAAGGTTTTTTTTCAATTACTCTCCTAGCTTGCTGCACACAAGTGTTCCACCTAGTTTTTTGCTCAACTCTCGTAAATGTTTACTTTATTTCATTTTTTGTTTACTCGCTTCAGGTAGTTGATAAATTAGTATTGTATTCATGTATATGTGTATGTATGTATGTGTGTATATATGAATGTGTATTGTGTGTATATAGGCAGATATAAACTGTAACATGCTTGTTAATAATATTAATATGTCTTGTTATTAGAATTTATTCCTGTTTAGACATTAAACAATTTTTTTTCAATACTGGATTGTAGATCTGTAATAAAGTGGGTACAAATCATATTTATTTATTTATTTATTCAATACATCCAGCAGGCCCAAAAGCCCATACTGCAAAAGCCATTGCCCGGTTTTTATTTTTCAGCCACTCTCGCAATATGACGGAACAAGAATTACAACATATATGAGGAGCCCATGAGCCCATGATATAGTATAATGATACTATATCTTGAAAACAAGAGCTAATATATAATTTTTATGGTCACTTTCGGTTTTAACACGTGGAAATAGATTAAAATCATCTAATTTCAACCCCGAAACAAAAAATTTGTTGTGTTGTGTTATTAGCCGCTTAGAGTTATGTTTTACATGAATGCGGTGGTAAAACTATTTTTGTATGTTACATATCATTAAGTGGTGTGATTTTGAAATTGAACTATCAACACGATATGAAAATTTAAAAAAATTATTAACAGGAAATGAAAATTAAAAATTGAAAGATTCCAAACCAAGTTACTTAACGACGTTTCGAATGTTAGTATTCACAATCGTCTTCAGGTGATAACTGGTAACAGATGGTTT